CTGGACTATCCACAAAGCTGCCCAGCCTGCCTCCATCAGGGAAGGACTAGCCTTGCCCATCAAGCACAGAACCTCTACAACCAGCCCCCCAAGGAGCAGACCCCTGGCCCCCAGCCAGGCTAAGGCTCAGCCATTGGCCTCTGGAAGAGTGGCCTGATGGGCTGGTCAGCCACTGCCCTGTGGGAGGTCAAGCTGGCCCCAGGCCCTGCTTTGCCCTGTGCATGCTGAGGACATGGCCTGGCTGCAGCATACTGCATGCCACAGCCCCCTGCTCTGCTGCCCTACCCAGCCTGGACCTCAGGCCCGAGCTGGTGAGCTCCCCTGTCCTGTCCTGAGCTGGCCTCTGGAGGGCCTACCTGCCTGATCCTGTCTGCTCTCTGGTGGGGCCTGGCCTGGCCTAACCTGGCTCTCTCCACTCCTGCTTTGCTTCGAAATCATCTTACCTCTTTCCCTTTTTGGTCCCTGTGCCTCCTTGCTCTGGCTGACTTGGCTGGTCACCCGGGGTTTGGTTCCTGTAGCAATCCACTGCACAGCATGGTGGGAATTTCAGGGGGGTGGGGGGGACACCTCCCCCAACACCTGTTAGATCAGGTGGCCCCCTCCCAGCTGCCCGAGGCCTCGTGGCCTCATGCTGTTTGTGGGGTCTGCCCTGTGAATGTAACTAGCTCAGGCTGTTGTTGGCAATGCCTGCCACAGCTTCTTGCAGCCTGAAACAACCCATTGTCTAATAAGTTACGTAGACAGAATAGCACTCTGCATGACTTTAATTTCTGGGACGAAATGGTAGTTTGAGCCTCCAGACACACATCGGTGTGGTGCTAGCATATGCACGGTCTCTGGCCCCATTTGATGGGGGTGGGTGGCTAGGTAGGTAGAAGGTTTCAGTTTGAAGTATGGAAGGAGAGTAATTAGTATGACCTCCCCCAAAGTGCATTCCTGGTCTGTGAGGCCTCAGGCTGCCCCTTGAATCCCTGTGTGTAGGACTGAGGGGACTGGAGGGCCCTAAAGCCTCATAGGAAGGGCTGGGCATTGCCTTGGGGGGTGGGAGCTGCTGGTTGGGGTGGGTCTAGCCATCTCACTATAGATTACTTTGCTGGGCCAACTGTGCTCTTGGCCTCTCCTTTTTGAGGTCCCACTTAGGGTCCAGCCTGGATGGAAGGGGGTGGACTGGGACAGGGAAAGGAAGGCTGGCAGTGCTTATGTGGCCAGCTGAAACCTGGACTTAGCTTCAGTGTGGGGGTGGGGCATAAAAACCCATGCACACCCTGTGGTGCTTGGGGACAAGGAAGGGCAGGCCGGGTAGACCATAGAGCTGGATCCCTGGCACCAAGGCTACATTTTTAGAAAAGCTCTTTCTTCAGAATGAATGAATTGGTGGAGCAAGCCCAGCTTCCTGAGGGGCCTTTTGTCCTGTTAGCAATTGAGGCATTTGCAGAACATTGTACAGACCCCACTCCCCTGTACATTCCTCCCTGGTGGTGCCCGGTCCCCTCTCGGGGATGGGAGTTTTGTAGACTGTACAGAAATTGGCACCCTATTTTCTTGCAGCTCTCAGATTTTGTTAATCTGGATTATACAGACAGACGTAAAGTGTTTTAGCAAAATGGAAAACAAACAGTTGTGCCTTTTTCCTCTTTTCTGTTTGGATTGGTCTCGGCTCGGGGCTAGTCTTAGCTGTTGTGGGGGTATCTGGGACTGCTGGTATCTGAGGTTGGGGGCCAGAGGCTGCTGGGGGGTCTGAGGCCTGGGTGGACCTAAGTGGGAGCCAGGTCTTTGGAACTCCACCAGCTGCCAAAACTCTGATCCTGTGCCTTTGGGGCCTGTAGTCTTTGGGATTAGAAAGACCCTGGGATCACTTGGGCCAGGGCAGAGCCTGAGGATCCTGCAGCCACCCATGTCTCCTTGATACTGACCTGGGATGAGCTCATAGTAGGTTCCCCCATCCTAGGAGCCTGGGGGGAAGGTGTGGCTCTTCTGGCCTATTGGCACCTGTCTGCCCAAGGGGATCTCTTCCCACTGGACTACCCTTGGGTAAAGGGAAGCTTGCTGGGCTCTTGATTATTCCTTGTCTGCCTTCGGTTGCTGCCAAGACTTGGTAGAGATGCTGGGAATGGGTGGTGGGGTAGGTTCCAGCTGCACCAGGATGGAACTTCACCAGGCAGTATGTAGCTTGGCAGGGCCTGAGGCCCTGGAAGCATATCTGTCTCCCTGGGCTGGAGGGAGCTGAGCATGCTCATGACTGGGCCTGGCCCTGTCCACTTCATCCCAGCCAGGGCTAAGTGCTCTGCACATGTGCACTGATGTGAATTTTCTGTTTGTCGGGATTCTGATGTTTCTTCTACCTCTATGGAGGCCCTCCTCCCTGCTCCACCTGGTGGCCATGTGCTTGTAGCAGCTCCTCTGAGTTTGCTGGCCATCTCCCCCTCCCTCGGGCCTCCAAGCACCTGAGGTGGCCAGCACCTGTACTCTAGGCCTGGAAAGGTCCAGGGAAGGCCAGACTGGGGTCTGGCCCTGTGCTCAGGATCTGTGGCTTCCAGGAGTCCTATTGTTTGCTTGGAAGCCTCTGCTTTAGAGTAGGGAGGGTGGAAGAGGTGGTAGAGTGCACCTACAGCACAGACCTGGTGTACCACTGCTTAGGTATGTGTCTCTGTAGAAGCCTAGGCTCTACTGTATAGCCAGGAGGCTGGCATGCATGTGCTAAGCTCTGGTCCCTGAAGGGTAGGGTAGCATACTCCTGACTGTAGTGAGGCCAAACCCTGGCAACCTCTCCCCTGTTCTGCTCCCACCCATGTGCTCACCCTTCACCCTAGCACTGCCCAGGGGCTGGGCAGCAACTGAGGGATGTGCTAACATGGCTGAGATGGTAGATGGCTGGGTCTGGGAGAAGACTCTGGCTGGGAGGCCCTGTGGATAACAGGCTGGTGGTCTCAGGGGCTTGGATAGTTCCCATCCTGCACTGGTACCCTTCATCAGAGAAGGGGATAGGTCAGAGCATAGTCAGGAACACACCTGAGGGGAACTTGGGCTTTGGCCTGATGTCTGGGACTCTTTAAGCCACAGTATTCTCACTTGCTGCTGGAAAGTACCCTTCCCATTCCCACTTGCCTCTGCCATCCCCAGATGGCAGCCCAGTCACTGCTTCCTGGAGCTGGCATCCAGGACTGTACCTGTGGCTAGAGGCCCTGGGACAAAAGTTTCTGGGTCTTACTGGTGCCTGGGGCTTTTGGGGCCTGGGCATGGCCTCCTAACTGGGTAGGAGCTGTGCAGCACCCATGAGGCTGGCTACCTTGCAGTCAGGGACCAAGGGGCAGCCTGAGAGAGTTGACCTGAGGTGGTTGTGTCTCCCTGTCTGTGGTAGCACTGCTGCCCACATCTGTGGCCCCCTGTTCTCTCAGTCGGTTCTGGCCTCAGCAATGGTCTTGTCCTTGGCTCTTGGCTACACTGCTGGGTATGGGGCAGACCCTGGGCTGTGCTGCTCTCTGGTGCTGCCATCACTGTGCTTCCAGCAGGGGTGGGGTCCATGGAAGGTGGGTAGAGCTTGCCTGGGTCTGGGTAGAAGATGAGCCTTGACTTACCACTGTTGGATGTATTTAAAAAAAAAAACAGCAATAATTAGCCATTTTAAAGAAGGGGTGTGTCTGCGTAAATGTGCGTACCTATCTGTGTATGTGCATCTGTGCACACATGTGTGAGCATGTACATCGGAGAATATGTGTATGTGTGCGTGAACATCTGTGTGAGTATGCGTGCACAAGCACATGCCGTTTGTAATCATGTGCTGCATGTGTGTCAGCATGTGCGAGTATTTGTGTGTGCGTGTGTGGGCATCTCCATGTGTATGGATGTGTGCACGTGTGTAGCAGTGGGAGGGAGCCAGTGGGACAGTCTGATCTGGGAGGCACTTTGTAGTAAGAAGCAGGGTCTTGTAGTTGTCTCTCACTGTGCCCCTCCCTCCCCTGCCCTGCCCTGCCCAGCTCCATGAGAATGTAGCACAACCCCACCAGGACAGCTGAGCCTCTGCCGGCTGTCACTTCTGTCCGTCTCCCCCTCAGCTAAGGGTAGGGTGGAGGAGCTGGAGGCCCCTTGGACAGGACACAGACGGGGTTGGATCAGGGTGCAGAAGTTGTAACACAGTGGTAGATCTCACTGTTGTGGTTTGTTCCTGAATTTGTACTGTGAGCCCATGATGGGGGTGGGGGTGTCCTGAGACCCCAGGATGTGCCAAAATAGCCCCTAGGGCCAGGTGACGAGTCGAGTTCCCAAGAAGACAGGCTGGGGGCCCTAGTGGGTGTGTGCCCCTGCCTGCACGGCCCCCAATGCTGCTGTTTTTCAATAAAATCAGAATTGAAGGAATCCGGCTCTGTGCTTTTTTGAGGCACCTCCTGGGGTGGGTATCCTGGGTTTCCCATTGACTGGGCTATTTCTGCCTGTTTGGTTGAGCTGGACCCTGGAGCAGGAATGGAATCAGTGAGGCAGGGATAGTGCCTTGGTGTCCCTGTCAGGGAGAGGCCCCTTTCCCCAACTGGTACCAAGTCCAACTGCCCATGATGCTCTCTACCCCACCAGGGAAGAGGTGCCTGGATTCCTCTTTGACCACAGACCATTGCAGCCCATCATACTTAATTATGTGTGGTAGATACAGAGGCAGCAGTCGGTCTGTTGGACAACTCAGCTGTGGGGTGGAGGGGTAGGGGGTGGAGATTGACTCAGGGCAGCAGAGGACTGGTTCCCAGTCCTTGGGGTGCCAGGCACAGCTAAGATACCTTTAGTGTGGTCTCCTGGCTGCCAAGTCCCACTGTTCTGGCATGTTTCTGGTATCTGGGTATTTACAAGGCCAAGACCTCTGGGCTTATGTGGGCTGGATCCATGAAGAGCTTCCCTCTTCTCTTGAGGTGCTCTTCTGGACCCTAATGGTATTTGCAGCCTCCTTCTGGGTGTCTCCACCACAGGCTGTGGCTCCTGCTGCTCGGCTACCTGTCTCCCCACAAGCATCTTAGGGATGATTTGAGATTTCCATCTAAGAAGGTATCAGTGTTGGTCAGGTTGAGGGGTATAGGCATCATGGTGAATGAAGACACATTTCCTGTCAGATCCAGGTACAGGATATCAGCCAGCCTTGTCAGTAGGGAGGCTGGAGGCTGTGGGCTGCGGGCTGAGGGAGGGTTTCCAAAACATACATTGAGCCCATCCCCTGGATAGCTTTCCTCCCTTATTTCCTGCCCAGAAGCCAGGAGGAATGTGACCATGGCATGGTCAGGGACTGCCTTTCTCAGCCAGCAAGAGGGAGCTGGTGATCTCTTCCTGGGCTTGGGTGACATGACAAAGCCCATCTCTGAGACATCTTAAGTGAAACACAGCCAGTGGGCTGCCTGCCATGGAGCGGGCCTTTTTATTGTAAATCTTGTGGTGCCCTCACTCCCTTACTGTGCATGCTCCATCCTGGCTCATGTTTGGCACAGGTAAGAATGGGGCCTGAGTGGACACTCATCAAGGGCCAAGTTGGGCTGAGGCATTACCCAGGCAGCCTCTTGCTAAGCAGAGTGTATGTTGTATGTGTGTGTGCACCTGTAGGAAGAATCCCTTCAGACAAGAAGACAGCTTCTTATTAGGCATTTATTTCATCCATCTGGCCTTCAGAGTGCAATCTGATGACCTGGGGAAAGGCTGCAGGATGGACTTGTGGAAACCAACTCACTCCTCCCACTGTTGCCCAGGGCTACAGACAAACTTAAGATGAAGAAATGTACTTGGTTGGGGTGGGTAGTGAAGAGGGACCTCCCTGGTAGCTGGCTGTTGCAGGGAGATTTGCTGTGGCTCAGGATGAGTCCGGGGTCTCCTACAGTGGGGCCAGGTGTCCCCATGAGCGGCCTACACTCAAATTCACCTTTAGGGGCACCTGTGGGGTGAAAACCAGAAATGACCTTTAAAGAGAAACTGGGCCACCTCCCAGGCCCTCATGCAGGTTGAAGAGCTAGCAATGCACAGGGAGACAGACTCAGAGAACAGCCACACACACAGGCATCCACATCAACACATACGGACACACGTGTATACTCACACTTGCTTTGTTGCGTGCTCACATCACACAACACCTACCATGGTGGAGCTCCCTACCTACCAGGCCTCAGGCTGTGTGTAGGTCTGCAGGGCTCCCAGGCATTGTGCCTTAGGATAGGAATGTCTTAGCTTACCCTGTCAGGGCTTATCTTGGAGAGATGCTAGGGTACAGAAGACCCCTATTTGAGTGGGCTTTTCCCCAAGACACTAGACAAAGCCACTGTGTCTGAAGACAGGGACTGGCCCCCAGCTGTTTCCCATAGTTTTCTGCCTCATGAGGGCCCCCTAATGGCAGCTAAGCATGCTTTCCTGGGCTTCAAGCTCCCCCCCCCCACCTCAGCACCCACTT